CCGTCCCACGATCTTAAGCGATAAATTTACAAAGATGATTGTTATTGCCCTAATCATCAACTCTGCGCCAACGCCATCATCTCCTCAGTTGTCAGAATTTTGTAATCGGTAAGAATAATTTTACTTTTTTGCTCTTCATTTAATTTTGTTCTAATTAGCCATCATCTCCTTTTGTTCTAATTCAACAATAGTTCAAGGATTGTCCGAATTAGGGCTTGCTTCAAGTCTTCATATTACTCCTTCATCAGATTCATCAGGTAAGCCATGTATTATATATGAAATAGTGATGACACAATTTAGGATCTACCCTAAATGTTTCAGTGTCATGTCGGACTTTAGGCAACTCTGTTGATGTTCAAGCATTAATACCTATAAGTATGGTTTTATATGCTATATGATTGATCATCTTATTTAAAATTGCGACTGGGAGTTTGAATGCCATGTAATATTCTTTCTGGTTCTGGTCTCGTAGGACCTAATAGAAATTTCAATGATTTGATCAAAATATTAATGAGTTATAGGACTAATAACGAAAAACCCAAAATTGTTATACAGTCCATTTTTAGATAAGTATTATACCCAAAAGCTCAATCCCATGAACTAGGCAAAAACAATTTGTACTTGGAAATCTTTATATCGCGAAGATAAAATTCTGGTTATCAATATGCCAGTATTAAATCATATCCATGTGCACATCATGTACTCGGTTAGACCTTATATATTGTTTATGCCTTCAGTAGAGAAACAGAATGTGTTTATAAGAGTAAATTGCAGATAAAACCCCCTCATCTATACCTTCAGTAGTCCCTCAACGCTTTATGGCCTTTTGAAATTCTTGATGAGACAAATCCATCGTCTTGTTTGTGTCTAACGTTTACATGGTTTCATTTTCCATAAGCCAAAATAAACAAGTCCTTCATGTTCCCTATAGTGCTATCAGTTCAATATCATCATCTCTGTGGTATGGTTTTCTGTTATAGGAGACCTTTTATCTCATTGCTTGTTTATATGTTCACATGCTTTTTGCTGGCATTTGTAACACTTAATTATGCTTTTGTGATAGATATCTTATTAGCTCTGGAACTACTCGACTTGATATTACTAAATAGTACTACTGTAACCTATTATCAACAAAACAACTTCAATATTTTCATATAGTAGAAATCTGAATATAATTGTAAATCATCATACTTCAGCCTGGGGATTGCTCAAATTTCTCTGTAGGCCTGCATTGTGATAAAGGACAATGATATTGTTGAAAGTTTGGTACTGTTGGCCGTAACTATTATTTTCAAGTCTTACCTCATATTGTAAAAATATGTAGAATTTTGTAGCAAAATCAACTATGATATTCTGTAAAGTATGCTTCATTTTGAGGTGTTATATTGATTCAAATACTGCATATGATGCTCAGATCATCTGATGATGGAACCTGTCGCATATGGGATGCTAGGCACGCGCAGCTAAGCCCACGAATATATGTCCCAAAGCCTGCAGATGCTTTAGCTGGTTAATTTAGCAATTTAATTGATTAATTGGCACCATCGGATGAGAACTTGCATTGGTAAAAGTAAAACTCATTGCAGGAAAGAGTTCTGATCCTTCATCAAGTGTCGGTCAACAAAATCATCAGATATTGTGTTGTGCTTACAATGCTAATGGAACTGTATTTGTTACTGGTAGCTCAGATACATAGGCAAGCTATATCAATATGGTTTACTTTTTCAAGTAGCACATATACACATTTATCCTGATATAGAAGATGAATTTTGACACTTTCCAGTGCCCCCATACTTCATTAACAAGCTACTTACTTTCAGGTTTGGAATGCTTGTAAAAGCAACCCGGAAGACTCTGAACAACCAAATCATGAGATGGATCTCCTATCCGGCCATGAAAATGATGTTAACTATGCACAATTCAGGTTAGCTGGCTGCCTTTATAAAGTGCTTATCTACATATTATATACGCATCTTAATACTGGTGGCTTTTTGACTCAGTGGCTGTCCGGTGGCATCTAGAACTTCTACAGCTGATTCTTTTAAGGAGGATAATGTTCCAAAGTTTAAAAACTCCTGGTTTGTACTAAGTCTGTTGCTCATTCTGTAATTTGAATTTAGTTTATTCTTGTATTTGAATAACATGCAAGTAGAATAACTATTGTCAACTAGCCCTTATCAAAGTTGTCTGTCAGATTGATGCATACTGACCCACATTTTTTCAGGTTCACTCATGACAACATAGTTACATGTTCTCGCGATGGAAGTGCTATTATTTAGATTCCAAAATCACGCAGATCCCATGTGAGATCTTCCTTTTCTTTTTTCATATTTCTTTGTAAAACTTCTTGTCTTTTCATGGTTATCCTTGTTAGATGAATCAAAATGTTTTTTTATCATCTCGTTTGAGATTGGTGGGCTTGAAATCCTTGGGAGGATTGTCTTTGTGGGTTGAACTTATGTGCTGAATGCCATTATGTGTTTCTGGAAGTGTCTGGTTATTGGAAACTTGATGACTGTATGATCTATCACAAAACTGTAGTCACCTAATCATTAATTTTGATCTTTACTATTGTATTAAGCAGAAGTCAGAACATGCCTTAGAATATGAAGGAATTAGTCTAACTGATAGCCAAAAAAATTGCAACTATGGATAATCTCATATCTGTTATTGCATGCGGATTCATGGTCGGCCTTATGGTGAGCTCTGTATTAGTTTCTTATAAATATGTGGTATTGAGTCCTGTTTATGTCTAAACACATGTGGTAGTGCGAACATGCTTTAGAACTATGTAGGAATAAGTATAATGGACATGCAAAATTTTGCAATTATGGATGTTTATAAATCTCTTTTTATAAACAATTATGGATGTTTCCAAATACTCCAAATTTTGCAATTATGTAATGTGATGCATGGATTGGACTTCTGATAGGTTCCATATGAGTTTCTTATAATATGTGGTATTGACACCTGTTGGATGTGTACAGCAGTTCTTATTGCATATTGGTATTAACAGTTTATTCTTTTGTCCGCTTTTACATCACCAAAGCTTTGGTCACCAAACCAACTTTTAGCTATTATCTTGTGTATTGGCATTGATAAAAGAATTTCTATTGAAGCATCTCTAGAGAAAGATCTGCTTCCAAAGTGCCTGGACATGGAGGGGGAGGAAACTGTTAAAACAATTGTTTTTGAACACTTCTCATTTAATCGCTTCAGTTGCCATATTAATGATGCATCTTACTACGATTTTGTAGACAAGAACCAGATTTGCTTGGAGAACTAAGTAGAAAAGAGGAGAATTAATTACACGAGAACACTGTCTGGTTTTTTTTTTTTGAGGAAAACTGGAATTGAACTGATTACTTATTTGAGGGCATAGGGTGCCTTTTTATACAAATCAAATTGGAAACGGTTCCTTGCTAAACTCTTGGCTATTGTTGCTTCCTAAAGAATAGCTCAGCTAGAGAATAGGTCATCTAGAGAATAGGTCCAGCTAGTGACCAAATCAAATGCATAAGTAAAAACAAAAGAATAGCATTTAAACAAGATTAATCTAACAATCACTCCCTAATCTTGTTGCATTTTCTTGACTTCAATCAATCCAATCTTCTTGCGCATCTCCAGGAACTTGATGCGCCCGAGAGGTTTCGTTAGAATGTCAGCAAGTTGATCATCCGAGTTGATGTACTCAACCGAAATCTTACCTCCTTCAACGCACTCCCTAATGAAGTGATAGCGGGTATCAATGTGCTTGCTTCGGTCATGGAAAACAGGGTTCTTGCACAAGGATATAGCTGACTTGTTGTCCACTTTGAGTGTGACGCTGGTTGGCTCCTTCCTCATCAACTCACCGAGAAGACGTCCTAGCCAAATTCCTTGGCATGCCGTAGTTGTAGCGGCAATGTACTCCGCCTCGCAGGATGATAGCGCCACCACCTTCTGCTTCTGAGATTGCCAGCTGATAAGGCTCCTCCCGAGCAGATACAACACACCTGTTGTGCTCTTGCGGTCATTGACATCGCCTGCCATGTCGCTGTCGCTATACCCGATCAAGTGTGGTCCTTCTTCTTTCCTCCTCTCATAGTAGCAGCCTATATTGCGAGTACCACAGATGTACCGCAAAATATGTTTCACGGCCCCTAGGTGCTCAGTGGTTGGAGCCTCCATGAAACGACTTACGTACCCCACCGAGTAGGCAATGTCCGGCCGTGTATGCACCAGATATCTCAAGCTTCCCACGACACTTCTATAGAACATGGCATTTGTTGGAGGACTGGTGCTCACCTTGCTTAACTTGAGTCTAGCTTCCATGGGAACTTGGCACGGATTGCAGCCAACCATGCCACACTTCTCCAAGATCTTCAGTGCATATGCCGACTGGTTCAAGGTGACACCGTCGCTGGTCTGTTGCACCTCTATGCCCAGGTAGTAGCTCAACAAACCCAGGTCGCTCATGC